CATCCTCCAGCTCTGCCTATCAGTTGCTTGAACACCCAACAAATATTTGAACAAAGTTTTTTAACTAGTTATTTTTTTTTCCATCCTTTAACAAACGGCCCTCTTTAATAGGAGAGATTTTTGACCACTGACCAAAAAATTGGCAATTCTAGTCCACCCAGCAGTACTGCATAAGAAGGCCTGGTGATCTACTTCTGTTAAGATTGCAGCCATTGAAAACTCATGGGTTGCCATGAGCCATAATCGACTAAACCGCAACGGGTTAGTAGGAGAAATTTAGTCTGAAATTTTCAGTCAGAGTTCTTGGCTCAAGAAACAAAAACCAACTCTGACTAACATAAAACTGAGAAGTTATGGGAAGGATGCCGGGTCACTCAGGAAGTCCATAGGAAGACTGAAGACGAAGCTTGGAAGATGAGGCTGCAGAAATCACAGCTGAGGTTCACTTATCAGACTGGTTAAACTGCTTCTAGTGCCAAAGTACCAGTGGCTTCACTGGCTTTTTAGCCACTGGACACTATACTGCCTTTGCCCACTGCCATTAATAAACTTTAAGTGTTTCCTTCCTTTTGTGTCCCTAGATCCCAAATTAAAGTCCCAAATGGAGCATCCTATTGTCTGGGCCCCTAGCCATCCAGTCAATTTCAACTCATAGTGATCCTATAGACAAGAGTCGAACTGCCCCATAAGATTTCCAAGGCTGTAAATCTTTCTGGGAGCAGACTGCCACATCTTTCTCCAGCACAGTTCTTTCAGGTTCAAACCTCTGCAGAGAATTTGCATTTCTAACAAGTTCCCAAATGATGCTAATGCTGCTGGTTAGGGACCAGTTCTGAGAACCACTGGTAGAGCAGTGGTTCTCAAAATTTATTATACATAAGAATCACCTGGGAATCTTGTTAAAATGTGGATCCTGATTCAGTATATCTGGGGGTGGAAATGCAAATTCTCAGCAGGGGTTCGAACCGGAATGAGTCTATTCGAATCTCTGGTTCAAATCCACCTGCCGCTCCAAGGGAGAAAAGTGTGGCAGTGTTCCTCTGTAAAGATTACAGCCTTGGAGACCCTATGGAGGCAGTTCTACTTTGTCATATAGGGTCACTATGAGTTGGAATTTACTTGATGGCAATGAGTTTGGATTTTTTTTTTTTTTTTAATTGTCTAGTCTGGATGACTGTCTCTGTTCCAGGCACCAGCGGACAGGGAGAAAGATTTTCTTTCTCCCTTCAGAATTATCCTTCCCCCTTAGATAAGGAAGAGGGTTTGGACCCTGAGTAGCATTGAAAATGTCTACTACACCAACTAAAAGCATTCTAAGTCATCGATCTAAAGAATAGCCTTCCCTAGAATTTTGAAGATATAAGTAAGATGGATTCCTGATTGTCTGAAATGGTTTAGATAACTGTTCTCCATGAGGCAGAGATGGATTGAAATGCAATACATTCCTACAAGGCTGTCATCTCCTAAAATGCTAGAAATACTGTCATGTTAAAGTCTTATTATAAGAAGCCTGATAGCTGGAATCTAGCATTACATTTCTTTTTTTCTTTTCAGGCTCTTGCAACAAAGAAGTTGGTGAGAAGATGTATTTCTTCCCTCAAGTCTGCTGTCTCATGTTTTTGACTGATATTAGGTAGAGCAGGGTGACATTTGTGTTTCAGGAAAATAATGTGTGAAAACAGTTTTCAAAAAATGCACCCTGTTTACATAAAAAGAAAACTAAAAATCTGTCTGGTTACCACTTTGTAGAATCTATTGTGTTTGGCTGTGAATGGGAATCTAATTGCTCCCCATTTCTGCTGGAGCCTTCCACTAACGTTTCCATTAAAAAGGAAGTCAGCTATAACATCATGGTTTTCAGACAGAAGTCAAAAAAAAAAAAAAAAAAAAAGACCAGTTGGTTATTTAATAATTTATTTTTCTTCTTGCCAGGCCATTAGAGGGACTAAGCCAAGCCACAAGGATGGAAAATATCATTTGTAGTCAGCAAAGGTAAAAGGAATGTTTCCACTAAAGTGTGATTTTGAATGATGACTACTGATTATTTTCCTGTTCTTCATTTACAATCAGAAAAAGTCATCTTCATCACCTGCTCTTGTTACCATGGGACTGGCATAAAAATATTACTTCTTGCAAGGCTGAATTTAAGGAATAAGGGAACCACAGAGCTTCGGTTAGAAGGACTAGACTTAAACCACACACTTGTAGAAAAACCTATTCAATCCTCCATCCAATGGCAGGGACAAATAATCTTTTATTTTTTGCAAACTTGGTAACTTTGATGCACATGATCAGTACTCCTCCTTCTCCTGTTCATGTGGTTTTTCTTCTTTAGTGATTTGAATTGTCAGTATCCATTTGATGAGTTGGCCAGTCTGTTATTTTGTTTGTTTGTTTTTTGAATGAACTACTGTTAAAGAGAAGGGGCTATTCCTGCATTTTAAATAACACTACTTGCAGTTAATACCGTAAAAGGACACAAAGCTGCCAGAATAATCTTTCAAAAGCACAGCTCCAACTCCAATCAATAACTCCCCAGATTAAGTCTAATGCCTCCTCAACTTGCTACATAATTGAATCCAGGGTTCTATCCCTGGAATTCAAGGGTCTTCAACCTATGAAGACCTGTCTTCTTATATTTTATTCTACTTTTTCCCGGTATGTACAGTACAGTGAAGTTTGTGGTTCTTAATCCTGGCTGCATATCACGTTCACATGGGAAGCTTTTAAAAAGGAAAACAAGTTGTGAACAACACACTGATGCTCATGGCTCTCCCCATGCTAACGGAATATGAATCTCTGGGGATGAAGCCCAGGCATCAGTTTTGTTTGTTTTTTAAGCTCTTTGTTTTGGTTATCAATTGCTACAAATTGTGTAAAACAGTAACCATTTTATTATGCTCCCCAATTCATAGCGCTGATGGCATGTCTCTGCTCTATGCTATCTGGAGACTCCACTGGGACAACTCAAATGGCTAGGGCCGTCTCACACAGCTGGGGGCTGGAATCATCTGGAGGCTTCTTTAGTCACTTGTGTGTTGCTGAGGCTGGGGTGATGCAAAGGATGGATTCAGCTGGGACTGTCAGCCAGGGTACCTATACATGCCTCTCCATATAGCCTGGGCTTTCCTGAAGCATGGTGGCTCAAGATAGTCAAATTTCCTATATGGAAGTGCAGGTCTCCAGGAGCAAATATTTCACTGAAAAAGATGGAACTACAAGGGCTTTTATGGACCTAGACTCAGAAGGCACATAGTATCTCTTCTGCTATGTTTTATTGGTTGAAGCAGTCACAAGCCTGCAGATTCAAGACAAGGAGACCCACTTTTTATAGAGGTCAGTGAATTAGTGGCCACCTTGAAAAATTGCCACCCATCCCAGTGATTCTAATGTACAGTGAGAATTAAGAACAACTGGGTTCATTTTTTTCAAACAGGGATCTGTGGAACAGGTCTGGGACTTGAGCGAGGTGAATGAGGGTGCAAAATTTATGGAAGGTCCTCCAAGCGCAGGGTAGGTCATCGAAGTGAGTGCCTCTTAGGTTTTTGTGCCCTAGCCTCACTCTCCCTGACCCTGTTCCTGGTCCTGCTACAGAGTGGCTGCATATGAATCTTCTGTGGAGCCCAGATTCTTGGGCTTCACACTGTGATATTCTGATTCACAAAGCCTGGGGTGGGGATCAGGATTCCATATGCTTACAGAGATTTCCAGAGGACTAAGTATAGATTCCTTGTGCGTCCCTGCTGTTGTGCCTTTGCTCATGCTCTTCCTTCTGCCTGCAATGTTGTTTTTTTTTTTTTTTTTTTTTGCCTTCTATTTCTATCAACTATGGACTATCTAGGAAGGCCTGGCCATCTACTCCTGAAAATCAGCCAGTGAAATCCTATGGATCACAACGGTGTGATACACAACCAATCATGAGGATGGCACAGGCCCAGGCAGCATGTAGTTCTATTGTGCATGGGGTCACTGTGGGGGCGGGGGCCCGGGGGGCGTTAGAGGAAAGCTAACAACAACGTGGACTGTCTACCCATTTTAAGAACCACTTAAATATCACCTCTTTCATTTGATACTGTCCCTTCTAAGTAACGGGTAACACTTTTAACCTGCCTTAAGGTGCTCATAGTTTGTCCTGTATTCTGGTGGTTTGTGGACTTCTCCTATAGAATGAACCTGTTGTCTTTTCTTGGGAGACCAAAATGGAGATCTGGAATCACACCATCAGTTGTCACAGGCAGTTTTCTCTGGACAAAGTGCTACTTTCTCTGTCTCATCTTGCTCCCAGATAGTTCAACTCTTTTTACCCACACGGCAACTATCAAGTGCCTTAAACGTTTTAGATGCCCTATGAACAGTGCATATTTCTCCTATAAGAAGTGTGGTCAAATTACCATTTTTCACAGCGCTAACGGAAGCCCTCAAGTACCCAGGGAATTATCCTACTGAATAATTACTTTAAATTCTTAAACATAGGCAGGGATTGCATCTTTATTGTGACTTTGACTTTTGGAAGGGGGTCGTCCTTACTTAGTGCTTTGGCTGCTCAGGACAAACGCCCTTCCATTTGTTTCCATCTTCTCTGTCAGGATTACCCACTCTCTTCCCGGCGCGTGGGGCAGTCGCGGGGTGGGCTGTTTCCCCCAGGTCATCTCGGGCGGTGGCCAATGGCCGTGCCCGGGGGCAGAGCCCCTTCCCCTGAGTGGGGAGCAGCACGTTGCTAAGTGCAGGGAGGAGACCGATCAGCGCAGTCAGCAAAGGGAAGGGGGAGGCGAGAGTTAGAGCGGGTGGGAGCGGGGAGGGGGTGGGGGCCAGAAGGAGGGAGTGTGGGGAGCCCGAGCCCTCGCGGGAGGGAGGCGCGCGAGAGCGAACACCCACTCGGATCCCGAGCCTGGGCGGCGCGCGGAGCTCGGAGCTGCCAGCAGAGCAGCAGCCGTGCCCGTATCCGAGGCGGCGTCTCCTCCCAGACCGGCTCCTGCCTCTGGTCGGCGGGACTCACGAGGATGGAGGATTCCCAGGAGACCTCGCCGTCCTCCAACAACTCCTCGGAAGAGCTCAGCTCTGCCCTGCAGCTGTCTAAGGGCATGTCGATCTTCCTCGACGTAAGTAGAGGTGGAATGAATTCGGTTGGTGGGTCCCTGGCACCGTTACCTGTTCTCTTCCCTCTGTGTGTGTGGGGGGGGGGGCGGGGGGAACTGTCCAGTTGCTCATCAGCCGGGGTTTGGCTCCCAGAGCATGGGTGAAAACTACCTCCTATCCCTCCGCACCACCTCCCAAGTAAAAAAACCCCTCAGAGGTAAATGCTAGAGAAAGACTGCCACTCAACTTGTAAAAAGGGCTGTTCCAGACCTCCAACTTGGGACTTAAGAACCCTTAACGAAATCCCAGAAGTTAAATTAACCAACAGCATGGGTTTCGATAGAGACTGGATTGTAAATACAACAGTCTCCGTTTGAATGAGTAGGACGTTTTAACGGGGCTGAGGGAGGAAAGGCATTGTCTCAACTGATTTTTAACGTACCCTGCTTGCAAACCCCAGCCTCCGCTGATGCTCTGAGGTGACGAAGGAAGTAGCAGAGATTGCGATGACCCCATCCTTCCCCAGCCCCCTCGGAAAGCAATTACTTTGAGCGTATTTATTTTTCTTTTTGCAGACGTGACCAAGATCTCTTTCATGATGATTCTTTTTTTCAGTGCCACCTCCTGTTTTTCCTTTTTTCTTCCTGCTGTTCTCCTTTCCTGTACCTCTCCAAGTTGTGATTACTATTATTATCTTCATCAATTCTAGCTTTTGGACTAGATGTCTTCCCTTTGGTTCTATCCCTCGCTTTTGATATTGACTTCCTTCCTCCATTTCTCTGATAGAATGGTCTTGCTTTCCTCTTCTCTGCTATTTTTCTACCCTCACGCTGTGGTTTTTGTCTTTACAATAGTTTTATTTCTTATTTATTTCTCAATTTTGCTTTGCTCTCCCTGTCAGCTGTTTCGGTACTCTATATTTTTCACCCTGTTGCCCAGCTCTTTTCTCTGCCTTTGGGTTTCCTATCCCTGCGTTGCCTGCTGGGATTCCGGTTCTCTAAGCCCCTTACTAGTCACAAGCACGCTGTCCTCCAGGTTGCTTCTGGCTCAGTGGGAACAATTCCAGCCTCCTATTTAGGCATGGTAGAAAATGGACAAAGGGCATGGAACTGGGCTGAGTGCTATTTCCTTTACCTTTCTCTGAGTTACCATTTCTTATTAAAATCAAAGTGAGTGGGAGATAGGTCAGAGGCTAAACACATTTCTTTGTGGGAGGGGTGAAAATATGAGGAAAGCAAATCATCAGTATCATAAAGATGAGGCAAAGATAATGAAGGTATTCGGGGGGAGGCTAGAAGCTGTCCTGAGTTTATTTTGAATGAATTAGCTGGACTTTATTTAATTGGGAGAGAAACTCCTATCAATAATTTAAGGTAGTCTACAGCAAATGATATAGATAAGTTTACTCATGTCTCCTGGCAGCCTCCCCCCACACCCCCCAATTCCATGCTGTTCCAATCTGGGATCCAGGCATTCCCTGCTGGCCATCTTCTTCCCACCAGAACATGTATCTGATTCCCATTCATTCACTCAGTAGGACTGTTTAAGCAGCTTTTCCTCGTGAGCACTCGCCCCTGCTGGTTTGGGTCAACCATATGATATTATTGGTGCTAATGGTTTAACTGGCTGATAATATTCTTTCAAGCCCTGCCATTCAGGGCCATAAAGCTCTTGAGGAACTAAGCTGGGAGAAGGGGAGAGGGTATCTCAGAACCGCTGTGAAGGAAAACTTCAAGGACAGGAGAAACTCAGGGCCCCTGAAAATCATGTTAGTTATGCAGCTAATGGCTAAATTACAATTAAGTTGATTTATAGAGGGCAAGAGGGGACTCCATTAATTCTGATCCAGTCTTCATTCTGTCCCCCGAGGATATCAAGTACTTGATAAGTCACCCCCATGGCTTTTTTTTTTTTTTTAAAGCAATTATCAAGTCCTGTTAATAGAATGGAGATGAATGGATTGAAGCTGTATAAATGGAAAGTCATCCTCCCAGATATACATACCAACCTTGGATCAAGTGTTCAATCTACTGCTTTAAAAAAGAAAGAGAAAAAATTTAAATCCCCTTTATTATTAAATATGCATGATTATTTCCAAGTTCTATAAGTAAATAGTATCAGATCCTTGCCCTAAAGGAATTTGTAGTCTACCAGTAGGGTACACATGCCTTCTTCTATTATTTCTAGACATTTAGAAATAAAAATATAAAACTGATTTCACATGAGAAGTGTTGACATGCTTGTTTACCAGTAAAATGCTAGAGTCTACAAAAAATAACTGCCACTGGATTTTATCTCAGATAGAAGAGATTTTGTTTACACTTTTTTATGAGATATTTTGTGACAAATATAACACTCTGGTGAAAGATGTTATATAAAAAAGGATTTGTTACTTAGGGATTTTTTGAATTATTCATTTCTGGATCATATTGCTTTTAGCAAAATAAACTGTGAAATATAAATTCATCATTTTATTTGATTAGTTTTAAGATATTCTACCAGCACTGTTAAGAAGGATTGCTTTTTGAGTTCTATGCAGATCATAATAAATAGATGATAGACTTTTTGTATTTCAAAGTGTAACAAATGAAATTGTAGGCTTCTGCATCACACAGAATAATTTCCAAATTTAAGCAAAACTTTGATTTCAAATGTTTATATTCTAGTGGCATTGAAATAACCAATCCTCTAATAAGTTATTTAAACTGCTTTTGAGAATATTGCAAAATAACTGGTTAGAAACAAGAGACAGATGTTTAACAAGAAAATCACAAAGAGATTTCCCTCTACTGTTGTTTTTTTTCCTTCATTTTCTGAACTCCAAATCAGAAGTAATAATGAGTATGATACTTACCAAGATTGTTGTGAGTATTAAATAAGAGTCCATAGGATAGGAAATAGGAAAAAATGAAATACACTATATAAATTTGGAGTATTATTGTTACATCGGTGTTCCGTGTTGAATGCATAAATATCAGTAGCTAAATCTACAAACTACAAGGACTATTTCTTTAGGAATATAGTTTATATGATTTTCTTTCTAAAAAAATAACAAAATTAACTATTAGTTTATCCTGAATATTCTTGAATACCTATCAAGGCTTTGAAAACCTAGCACTGGTACCAACCCAAGCCAGCACACCAAGGCTGGTGTTCTGCGTTCCCACAGAGGGCATCTGCTATCCAAGGGAGAGGGCTGACCTGGGCCCAGTGTGCGGCTCCACTGAAGGAACAGGAGGATGACAATCATGTTCCTTCTTACATCAGTGTGCTGTCCTTTCCCAGGTTGCTGCAGCCCCTCTAATTTACAATCTAGCCCTTGTATCTTGTGGACCCTCTTTTGAACTATTACATTAATCAACACTGCTACTGTACAAAGAGAGAAAAATAAACTTTCATTCATCCCCAAAAGGGAGATAAATCCCAAATGAAGTTGGTTGCAACTCCACCAACAGATGCTACTCTCCTCCCTAGCAGTTTTTCTTTGATTTTTAACTAGGGAAGGAGGGCGGCCTTTCTCCACTTCGCTGATGAGGTGGAAGTAGGGACCGAAGGTTGGGAAGAAGAGAGGTGACTTTAGTGTTTGTCCTTCTGCCACCTGATCATGCATACCCAGGTACACCCTGAACACAAGGCACAGTGCCTGATGGTTAGGGGCTTCATGGGAACGTGTATTCATTTTTCTCTCAGAGATACTTAAGTCCCAAACCCTGGATGGAGAGGTAAGATGAATAGAGGACTATAAAAGCAGAAACAGTTTCCAGGTTTGATAGTTCTGTGACTGAATTCTGTTGCAACGACACACTTCCTATTTGCCTAGCGATATGAGCACAATTGATTACTTCAAGGAGGTTCAGGGGTAGAATTCTTGCATTCCACGCGGAGACCCAGGTTTGATTTCTAGCCAATGCACCTCCTCGTGTGAAACTACCACCTGTCTGTCAGTGAAGGCTTATGTGTTGCTATGATTCTGAACAGGTTTCAGCAGAGCTTTTAGACCAAGATGGACTAGGAAGAAATTCAGTCAAGGAAAACTCTATGGGTCACAATGGTTCGATCTTCACCTGATCATGGGGTTAGTGAAAGACTGAGCAGTGCTTCGTTCGATTGTGCATGAGGTCACCATGAGTAGGGGCCAACTTGACAGCTAACAACAATGAAGTCCATTTGGGAGAATGGCAGTTAACGCCATCATTGCCTACTCTAATTGGAAAGGCAAATGTCATTGAACTAGTTTTAGAAACCAGCAGAAAGCACTTGGCTGCTAAACAACAGGTCGGTGGTTCGAACCCATTCGCTGCGCCTCAGAAGAAAGATGTGACAGTCTGCTTCCATGAAGATTACAGTCTTGGAAACCCATGGGGCAGTCTGCTCTGTCCTATAGAGTCACTATGAGTCAGAATCTACTTGATGGCAGTGGAATGGAGTTTCACTGTTGTTTTCAGACACGGGGCCTACCCTAGGTAAAACTGAGAAAATGAAATGTATGTGCTAATTCCCTTTTCTCCATCCACCTTTCAGTGTCCACTTCCCCGCATTCTCTCTCATGGTTACTAGTGGCCTAGTAGCAAGACTTCCTTCTCTATGTCCAGGCCCACACAGTGTGACTCACCAAATAAGTCTTCTCTTCTAAGTGGTCCTCCACGTTCCGGGTAGGTCCAGAGTCCCTACTCTAAATCCATATATCTCAGGAGTCACTAGCAAGCGACTGACTAGCTCATTTCATCTAATTTTAACCTGGTATAGGGTAGAAAGGAGCCTTCAGCTGCTAACAAAAAGGACAGCGGTTCAAACTCACCACCTGCTCCTCAGGATAAAGATGTGGCAGTCTGCTTCCATAAAGATTACAGCCTTGGAAACCCGATGGGACAGTTCTACTCTGTCCTGTAGGGTCACTAAGAGTCACAGTGAATTCCACGGCATGGGTTTGCGTATAGGGTAGGAGGCCCTTAAGAAGTAGTAGTTCAGTGAATGACAATTATTGTGTTAATTTGTTATGCTTCCAAGATAAGGTGACTTTTAACACTTCCCTTCAGTAATTTAAAGTAAGGAATGAGGAATTTTAGGTAAGAGCATCAAATAATATATTCTTAAAATAAAGGATTCTGTTTGATGGCTTAAATTATAGCAAAAGCATAGTAACACATGCATTTAAGCTTTAGTTTGACCATATTATTTAAATTTATTTACCATCTGTCATGGATTGAATTGTGTCCCCCCAAAAATGTGTGTAGCACCTTGGCTAGGTCATGATTCCGAGTATTGTATGATTGTGTTATCTGATGTGATGTCCTTATGTGTTGTAAACTCTACCACTATGATGAGATTATATGTGATCTCCTCATGTGTTGTAAATTCTATCACTGTGATGAGTTTATACTGATGAGGTTGACAAGATTAGTGTCTTAATGCAATCTCTTTTGAGATATAAAAGAGAGAAGTGAGCAGAGACACATGGGAACCTCATACCACCAAGAAAGCAGTGCTGGGAGCAGAGTGCATCCTTTGGACCTGAGGTTCCTGCACAGAGAAGCTCCCAGACCAAAGGAAGACTGATGACATGGACTTTCCTCCAGAGCCGATGGAGAAAGCGTTCCCCTGGAGCTGATGCCCTGAATTTGGACTTGTAGCTTACTGGACTGTGAGAGAATAAATTTCTCTTTGTAAAGCCATCCACTTGTGGTATTTCTGTTGGAGCAGCACTAGATGACTGAGACACCATCCATCTAGTGTTAGCAATTAGTGAGATTAACTGACCCAGATTACTGTAGTAACTCAATTTTTATCTGCAGTACATTTTTATTAGTCTGTTGGCTCAGGGGCAAAATTTGCAGCAGAGACAATTCTGTTCATATTTAATTACGAAGAACTGTCTTAATATCAGAAGCTATTGTCTTAATTTCATCTGCAAGAGACTGAATGCTATTTATGATGGCTCTTTATGAGATGAAATGATAGGAGTCCTAGGGTCCAGATCTTTGGCGTGTGATTATTCCTCTCCAGAAGCCATTCTAGTCACTTGGAACTGATGAGGACACAGTAGAGCATGAAATGGAATTTAGAGAATACCAGAGGTGAGAAATAGGCTGCTTTTGCATTTCTGTGAATCTCAGCTGGAGTTCCAAGGTGCCAGAGGAGGGAGGAAAAAGCAAATTGTGATGGTGAGATGGAACCCCAAAATCACCACTGGAAATTGCTTCTGTGGAACAAAAAGAATTTGTGTCTCATTCAACTATAACTATAAAAGCACCTATTATGGAAAGCAGTCTTCTGGCAGTGATTACATGCCCTTAGCAAAAAAAAAAAAAAAAGCACACTTCTATGCTTAAAAACAGGCTGGTGCATATCTGTTTCTAGAAAAGTTCCATGAGTGAGGTTATTTAAGTAATAATATTAGCATTTGATAGTAAAGTGCACTGTAGTAATGACTAGATTTATCTCTACCTCATCTCCATGAAGTCAACAGAAGGAAAGAAGGATAATGTTTCTTATAGCAAAAGGTGGTAAAACAAAAAAGAGTGTCTCCCAGCAACTCAAGCAAAACTATGGTCTATCATTCACTGTCCCCAGTGTGCTCATGCCTGAATAGTCACTGTGGCAGGAGGGATGTGACCCTCTGTTTTCCAAGCCTGAGTCCTCTGCCCAGCCGTGCTGCACATTGACCACGATTGGAGCAAAGATTGCTTTTCCAGAAGAAAACTGAAAATCATTATCAAACAGTAGTGGATAATGAATATCTAGAGTATTCACTAAAGATATGTCAGAATAGGTCCAAGATAATATAATTAACTCATAGAATAAAGACAGATATACCTTAGATGTGAATTTCTATTTAACACTTAATTTCTTTTTTGTTTCCCAGCTTTATTGAGGTATAATCGACTTACACTAAACTGCACATACTTGAAGAGTAAATTTGGAGAGTTTTGACATATGTATAGACCTATGAAACCATTGCTACAATTAAGATAATAAATATATATATCACCTCCAAAAGTTTTCTCATGCCCAATGTCATGGATTGAATTGTGTCCTCCCAAAATGTGTGTCAGCTTGGCTAGGCCATGATTCCCACTATTGTGTGGTTGTCCACCATTTTGTGATCTGATATGATTATCCTATGTGTTGTAAATCCTAACCTCTATGATGTTAAAGAGGCAGGATTAGAGGCAGTTATGTTAATGAGGCAAGACATAATCTATAGGATTAAGGGTATCTTGAATCAATCGCTTTTGAGATATAAAAGAAAGAAGCAAGCAGAGAGGATGGGGACCTCATACTGCCAAGAAAAAGGGCAAGAAGCAGAACACATCCTTTGGATTTGAGGTTGTAGATGGGCAAAATTGATGATAAGGACTTTCCTCCAGAGCTGACAGACTGAGAAAGCCTTCCTCTGGAGCTAGCACCCTGAATTCGGACTTCTAGCCTCCTGGACTGTGAGAGAAAAATTTCTGTTTGTTAGGGCCATCCACTTGTGGTATTTCTGTTATAGCAGCACTACATAACTAAGACACCCTCTTATAACCCATCCATTCTTGCCCTACCCATTCCTAGGCTACCCTTAATTTACTTTCTGTCACTATAGATTAGTTTACATCTTCTAGAATTCTGTAAAAATGGAATAATATAGTAAGTACTTTTTTTGGCTAGGTTTTTTTAGTCAGCATAATCATATTGAGATCTATCTACATTGTTGCATGTATCAATAGTTTATTCCTTTTTATTGATCAGTAGTACTCCATTGTATTGATATACCATAGTTTGTTTATTCCTTTACCTGTTGATGGACATTTGGGTTGTTTTTGGTTTTGAGCTATTACAAATAAAGATCTCAATTGGGAAGCCTTCATTTAAAATTAAAATTGGTTTTATTCAATAGTGGTTGAATTGTATGTGAGTATAATGTTCACTGCAATGCTTAAAAAAAATGGTGATACAATTTTTTTTCTTTTGTTCCATTCCAGATACTGAGGAGAGCAGATAAAAATGGTAAGACCAAAAATCTACAGTTTTCTACTTATTAATCTCTTACTTTTTAGACCACTTTGTAAAGAATACTATGGAAGAAGAGCACAAGTAATTGACAAATAAAGTGTCAATGTCTTGTAACAGTTTTAGGCAAGTAAATGATTCCAGATATTCATGAGAAGAAGGATTTACATTTGACTGGAAGATGGAATTTATGTCCTTGAGTGAGGAGCTCTTTCATATTTGGGCTCTGGCTCTTTCTTTTTATGTTTTAAATTAACTTTAAAGTAATAAAAACTTGTATTTATTGTCTACTGTGTGTCAGGTATTACGCATGCATTATGTCTTAGAGTTAGTAAGATACAGAGCCGGGACTTGAACCCAGGTGTGTGTGGTATCAAAGTCTAGGCTCTCCACACTGACCTTAATAGTTGCCATGGGGCTGCTTCTGCACGCTAAGAAGGTTGCCTGGAAGCATGCATTGCCAAACTTATCTCTACCCTGTACGCTTTTCAAAGTGTATGCACTAAGAGTGATAATACAGAAAATTGGGAGATGGTAAGTCAGAAGGAAAAATTGCTGTGCCAAAGGAACTAGAGTTTAAACGACACCTGCATGAAGTCTAGTTATAAGCGGTCATAAGCAATATCTTCTGACTTCTTTTATTCCACTAGAAATTTTGTTTCATAGAATACCAGATTAGAGTTTATTAAGTTTATGCTGCTGCTGTAGTATTAAGTGTTATAATAGAGGTATAGTCTTGACAAGAGTTTCTTGACAAATCTAGGATACAGAGGGTCCTTTCCTTTTCTTGACATCCCGTTTCTTATCTATGGGGAGAGATTACAGTCAGAGTCCAGATCTGACAGCTTAAAGACAGACTTTGTAGTCTAGTTACCCATTTAGCAGTCAGATCAAGAAAAGCTTGACTAACACTTTGCACCTTTCCACACAACAGAAAAAATAATACTCTAAGGAGCAAGAAAATAGTGTCCCAAGTCTCACTAATATTTAACTGTGCCTGTCCATCAAAATGTTTCCTTAAATTATGTTGTGGTGATTTATATATTATCAATTCAAAGAGGCTTTTTTCACTTGAAGCACTTGATTTGCAAGACAGAAGTAGTGATGCCATCATCCTGTCTTCTCATTCTCACCCTATGGCCTTGTACCAGATACCCAGCTCCAGTGACACCTAATGCACAATTGAATAGCCTGTCAGTCTCCATGCCACCTGCATCTCATTTCTGCCCCCGTCTCCAGCTCAGAAATGCTTTATCTTCCTCTTTGCCCAAAGTCCTGTTTCTCTCAGGCCATGCCTTCATTTCCTTGGACTACAAGGCTCCAATTTAGGGAAATACTATTATCTTTGTATCTGTCACTCTTCTTTTCATCAAAAGTTACTTCCTTGATGGCCCATTGTTATACTCCAATTAAAAAAAAAAGTTTCTATCAAGTTGACTCTGACTCACGGCAACTCCACATTGCCAGAGTAGAACTGTATTCCACGGGGGTTTTCAATGGCAGAATTTTTTGGAAGTAGATTGCCAGACCTTTCCTTCAAGGTGCCCGTAGTTGGACTGAACCTCCAGCCTTTCGGTTAGCAGCCAAGTGTGTTAACATTTGCACCACCCAGGGACTCCTTATAATCCATAACCCATTGCCATCAAGTCAATCTCGACTCATAGCAACCCTATAGGACAGAGTAGTATTGCCTCAGAGTTCCAAGGCTGTAAATCTTTACAGAAGCAGACTGCCACATCTTTCTCCTGTGGAGTGCCTAGTGGGTTTGAACCGCTGACCTTTAGGCTAGCAACTGAGTGCTTCAATCACTGTGCCACCAGGGCTTTTTTATAATCCATAGTCATATTTAAAAAGCACCTGTTAAACCAATTCACAGGACTTAATGGCTGGTGATAACCTCATATGTTATGCTATGTAGAAAGTGGTCATTTGTGCTGGCAGCTCCATGTGGTCCAGCTCAGTCCCGTATTTCCTAACTTGTGATACCTCTTCCCTCTTCGCTCCTTTTCCTAATGCCAGATCCTAACGTGCTGTCATAGCTACCTGTTCTTGTGCTCTTATTTCGCACAATCTTCACCATGCATTGTCCTCTACAGCCCGAGGAAGCACTCAGGATTCCCTGAGCACCCCTCCATCTTCCACACCTCTGTGATGTTGCCTCTGTTTTCATCTCTGCCTGCTCTAACCTTTCCACCCTTAGCTGGCTATAGAACTCTCAGGTATTGTTAGATTCCTCCTCTAAGGCCCCTCACCTGAAAGCCTTCTCCAGTTCCCCTGGCAGAGCCCTGCCACCCTTCTGCTGTTATGCTGGAGCCCTTATGGTAGAGGACTGCAGTTATTTGCTGGAGATTCTTCTTCTCTATGCCCACATGCCTCTCTAGGAAAAGAACTTGTCTTATGGCTAGACACTATGTCTGGCCAGTGCTAGATGCTCACTGAATGTTTGTTTAATCAATTAAAAATGATTGAGGATGCTGTACTCCATTATCCATCTCCCTTCTGTCTGTTCACTTTTCCCCTGCCTTCCATCCCTCCCTCTTTTTTTCTATTATCAGTATAAAGTCTGGGGAGGATGGAGTCAGGCAGGCCTGGGTTTCAATCACAACTATGCCACCTAGCAGCTTTGTGACTTTGGGTAAGTAACTTAGACTCTGCACCTTCAGCTTTCTCATCTATAAAATGGAGATAATGACATCTACCTATGTCCTAGGGTTATTATGAATAATAAATGAGGTATTGTGTGTAAATTCCCTGGTGCAGTGCCTGGCACATAGTAAGAACTCAATACATGATCATTTTGCTGCTATTATTATGATTACAATTATCACTCTTGCTATTGAAAGCTTGAGCTGTTATCTGTGCTGTGGGGTCTTGGTTATCTGAGACACATGGTTACATTGCAGTCATTTCTATTCCCGTGGAGTTAAGTGGAAAAAAAATAAGGCTATTTATCATGCATGTAGAATTGAAAAGGATGGTGGATAATCTAATGTAAATGAGAAGATACTGGCACAAAAAAGGAACCATCTTTCTCTACCATGTGTTCATCACATTCTGTATTTGCAAATAAACAGCTGTTACATATACTTGATCTCTTGGTAACAGACCCTCATATAATAGACTCCCTTGTGGATGGCATAATTGATGACAGAATAATGAAGGGAATGAGAGGTGATAAGCACTATGATAGTTATCGTGCTAGAGTACAGATTTAGCTTTTGGAATGTATCTGACATGGAAGAGAAGCTGCTGGAGAAATGGAAGAAAAAAACAAAAACAAAACTTGATTAGTTTTTAAATCATAGGCTAGGATCCTAGACATAAAGATAGGCTTCAAAATAGGATTGCTTTGGAGAGACACAAGGACTTTAGTCTAAAAGACCAGAATTAGATTTAGAAATTCATAACTTGTGAAAGCTTACTTATGTGCAAGTTGAATGAAAGTGGAAAAGATAAGTGGGTATTTGTAAAACTTGCAAAAAGATTCTTTTTAACCTTAGAAAAAAGGCAAAATAAAAAGGCTCATAGTAATGAATAACACCATCAGAGTTCTCTTGTTGTTTGTACTTGCTAAGATCCACTGCCCTTTTTTTTAAATTGTAGTTAATATATACATCCTTAAATAATATTTTATTGAGTTTTTGCTGTAAGTTTACATAGCAAGTCAGGTTCCCATTTGACAATTTCTATACAAATTGTTTAGTGACATTACTTACATTTATCACAATGTGTCAACATTCTTTTTGTGTTCTGTTTGTTCCCTTTCCAGTACTCTAGTTTCCCTGCCCTTTATCCTCTCATCCTTGCTTTTGAGTAATTGTTGATCTTCTGGTTCCATACTGATGGTTTTTAAGTAGGGCACCGATTTTACCAGTAATACCCTTTATTTTGTGTGCCACTCTGCTATTTTGCTAAAAGGTGATCTCGGGATAGACTCAGTTCTAGGTTTAAAGAGTATCTCAGGGCTATAGTCTCAGAGAGTCCTCTGTTCTCTACCTCCTGTTCCAGGGTGTATGGCTTATGTATATATATGTATAAGAATTTGAGTTCTGCTCCATGCTTTTCTCCCATTCTATCCAGGACCAACTATTGCGACCCCGATCAGAATGGTTAGTGGTGATAGCCGGGCACCATCTAGTTCTTCTGGTCTCAGGGTAGATGAGGTTGTAGCTTGTGTAGACTTGTTTATTCTCTAAGCTTTTGCTTACCTTCTGACTGTTTTGCTCCTCTTGAGTAGAGATCCACAGTTTTGTCTGAGATGGCTGCTCTCAAGTGTTTAAGACCCCAGATGCTACTCACTTCGCTAGGACGCAGTCATGATTTTTGTGGACTATGTCAATTGACTGAGTTGTCCCATGAGACTGTGATCCTAAGCCTTCAAACCCAGAAAACCAATCTTGGAAGATGTTTGGTTATGTCTGAGAAATATCTATATTTGTGTCTTCAATGAATATATGTGCCTGCACCCACATATTTGTATTTACACATACCTATAGAGGGTCACTATAAGGTCGCTCTGAGTTGGAATTGACTCAACAGCAATGAGTTTGTTTTTTTTGGTATAGATACTTCTATCTGTTCTCACCTACGTAGACACCTGTACCTACCTGTATACCAATTTGCCTATACTCTTCCATATGTGCTCAAACACTCCTTTTTACTTTGGTTGTGCTGTGCTCACTACATCCACATTCAATGCCACTTTTCCTGTCACTAAAAATAACAAGTCTCCACCCTGGTGGCGTAGTGGTTAGGAGTTCGGCTGCTAACCAGAAGGTAGGCAGTTCGGCTTCAGTGGGTGCTCCTTGGAAACCCTGTGGGGCAGTTCTACTCTGTCCTTGGAATCGACTTGATGGCAATAGGTTTCTTTTTTTTTTTTGGTTCTATGGTCTAAAGCATACTTTCCCCTCTTCCCCCATCCCTGGTAACCATCAATAAACATCAGTCTCTATATTTATCTATTCTTGTCTTCTTATAAAAAAAGGATCATACAATAT